TTATTTGAACTTTAAAGTTACACATCATTGTGTCTGGTTAGTACTCAGATTTGAAATAAATTTAAGCAACATGACTTTGAACAAGTGACTATTTGTGCCTTGTGATTAAAATCCAATATCTGGTTCAGTATCTTTGATGTAACACAAATATTTACGTCTATTTTATTTGTTGAATGTTGTGGGGTTGGTGATTCCAAATAAATTCTTTCTCAAAGTAACTTTTATTTAGTTGTTAAGCAACATCATTTGATCGTAATTGTACTTGAAATAGAATTCAGAAGGTGCATTAATTTTTAGAAGTTAACCATAACTAAAATTTGATTTTTATCTCATTTTAATTACAGCATATAAGTTGCTGTCTGTTGATTAGTAAATTTGGGTAAAAAGAATGAAAACATTCTAGTGGTCAGGTAAACATGTAATTTAAAATGGATGCTTGATTAGTATTCTATTGCAGCTGATGTTAGTAAAGTTTATAATTCCTTTTTCATATTTCAAAATGGTTGCATTCTTTAAAAGCAAAAAAGCAAATTATCAAAACAAAAAGAAATAAGTTACTGAGATTGAAGCAATTGACTTTGTTTTCATGTAAACAAGTGTTTACACTTTGTTTCTAGAAGATAAAATGTGGTTTTTATGACAATAACTAAATTTGTTCTTAAAGAAAATAATTATTTTAATGGAAGAAGTATTGTTAGATCAAGACCAAACATTTATTCTTTAAATTTTATTTTAAATTTGTTTTAATTAAAACCTGAGTTAATATTGAAAGTTTCTTATAAACCTGTAATTTAACCAAATGTTAAAATTTTGTCCTAATCTTATTACTTAACAGCTATTAATAGCATTTTCTATGATGCATGCATATGAAAGTTTTACTCAGTGGTAGAGCAAGGGGTTAGCAATTGAAAGGTATATTTTTTATATAGTTGAAAGATATATTTTTTAAGTATTTCATTATGATAACCAACACAGTGCTTAAATGATGAATGGGCTAAAATCTACTACAATTTACTACAATACAAATCTTTGCTAGAAATATTACTTAGGTTATTATTTGTTAATTATTAGATTGCAAATTCCTTAAGTTTATAAATTTTGGACCATTAAAATATATCAGAAAGGAATATTCTGTAAAAAAAAAATCATATTTTATTTTATGAGTATTTTATAGTTTTGCTCAATATAAAAGCAGTACCTTTTACATAAGCAACAAGCTTTCCTCAGGTATTGGTTCATATAACACAAGTTACTGTTTTAAATGGCTGTATGGTTATAGTGTTTATAACTTCTGATTGTGAGCAGAAATATTAGCAGACAAAAAATCAATGAGAATATCTGTTGTTAAGAGACAGATAATTTTGGGAATAGTGGACTGTTCTATACTTTCTATCAGAAAATAAAAAACCAAGTCAGGCTAAAATATCAAATCTTTTGTAATTCTTTTATCATCTGGTTGCTTGCCACTTGAATTTGTCACAAGAACTACATGCTTCTGCTTGAACAAACAAGCACCTGGCACCTCCTTACACAATTTGAAAGCTTGATTTGGTGTCTTGTAGTGGCTTGTCTTTCTTTTATTTATTACCATTCAAAACCTTACAATTATTCTTAGAGGTATGGTTTCATGGTACAACAAATGACTTATAGCTGAAAGGTGTCATTTTCAAGTGATGGTTTGGTGAAACTCATTATGATACACATAACTAAGAAAAACATATTTTTGCACTTGTAAAATCTATCATACCTATTTGACAGTGCTACAATATCTCCAAATATTTTATGATGCTGCATGTAATCTTGCAGTTTGATGACTAGTTTTGATTTTTAATGCTTCAAATTCAAAATAAAATTCAATGAAATACACAATCCAAATCATGCCCATTTCAGAATTTTTTTTATTAGGAAAGTAAAAGCTATTTTGTTGATAACAGCAAATTTGAGTCAAACCCAATTATACACATGAGCAACAACAGAACTAAAATTATTTTAAACACTGGGCATCATGTTCCATATTTTCAAATTATTGCGTTCAGCTTCAGTGTTTTTTTCTCTTAGCACTTCAACTAAAACATTTTTCAACCTTCTTGAAACAGATGTAACATCCAGTCTTAAGAATTTTTTTCATACTTTTTTCTGTTCTTCTTTCTTTTTATCTTTTTGCTGAAAACACCATAAACCAACAGAATTACAGGACTGGTTATTATAGTCTCTTGTTAATAGTATTAACATGAGAACAGTTAAAATTGGTATCTGTCTAATTGTTGGTTGACTGATTGCTGTAGGAAATATTAATACCTTTACAATGCTGGTATTCTTTAAATAACTTTATATTGATCTTTGTTACAAAAGGCCTTCACTGTTAAAATTATTTTTTCTCTGAACACTAGTTTCAGTTTGCTCATTTTTGATAAACATTCATGAACAGCTTCTTTCACTCTCTGGACCTGGCCACAATATGGAAAAGAGAAAGTAATAACTAAATTCTAAAGACAAGATAAGAAAACATAGACCTAAATAAACTTGATCTATTTCTTAGCTGAAACATTTTGTTAAAACAGCAAAGATGAAGAGAATAATCCAAAAATAAATGGAATAATGAAAAATACTTTAGAAAAGACAGTATAAGGACAATTGAAGCAATGATTCGACTTTCTTATTTTTATATAAGCATTGAAATAATCCTATGAATATTTATTTCTGCTCTTAAGATATTTTTGGTTTCAAATGACTATATTTAAAACATTTTGTATATATTTAGATATTTCTTACTATGTTCTATTTATTTAACATACAAATGCATTAATTGTATGCTGCATGTAGGCATCCCAGTGTGAGGTAACAATTAATGAGCTAGTCTGGTTGATCATTACTTCAAAGTAATGTTCAACCAGACTTTAACCAGAAAATTTAAGATTGAGACTTATATTGAAAGTGTTGGTTCTTGATTGTTTTATCATTTGTAGGAATATTCAGTTATCAAGAAGTATGAAACAACCACGCATTCTCTAAGTCTTTCATGCCACACCCAGGCCCAATTAAAACAACCAAGATTCTTGGAATCCTGTCATAAGTTTTCAAGTGAGTTCTTGTTACCTGACATTTGGCATCTACCAATTTCTTCATGTAGACTGCAGATACTTAGAGACTTGATGCTTGTATTGTGTTACTTGTTTGCTTGTTAATGATCCAAAGTTGGTTTTGTCTTCAGAAAACTGACTAATGATTCAACCTTCCTAGTTCCTTATAATGTTGCCAAGATTTTATCATTTTAGTTACTTGGTTTAGTTGTGCAAAGAACATTGCTCACTAAGGAACAAGACAAATTTTGTTCATTTAACCACAATTTTATCAGATCAAACATTCTGTATTATGAATCAAATCTTACAATTTCTGTCCCTAATCAAAATATTTCTTCAAAACTTTACTCACATATGTTTTTTAAATTAGTATCACCCCAAGAAAGGCAGTACAGCCACTAAATGCAAGGGGTTACAGGGTTTGTGGGAATTTGGAACAGAAACATTAGTAATGAGCAGAAAAAGAAAAGAGTAATCAGGAGGACAGTAGCTGGTGATTGACATTGTATTTAAATTTTTGTAGAAAATGTTAGTTGGAAGGCATGTAGCCAAAAAGTTGCATATTCCATTTGACACATTTGTTAAGATAATTAAATTGTAAAATCTGACAAATCATGGTTCAAGTGAATACGTCATCATCTTATGAGGCAATATTTATATTTATCCTCATTTTTAAGCCTCAAACTTGAATAGTTTGCAATTTTTATAATAAGTTTAGTTTCTTGTTTTCATGACCCAACATCACTGAAGTCTGAAAGGAAATTAAAAATAAATTATTTCTTAGATCGCATTTAAATTTTAAGTTTATACTTGAAAGGTATATTAGTCTTTATATTTTATTTATAAATAATGAAATATTTTTGGAGCAACATCAATAAGTCCATAGCAAACATTTATTTTGCACAATATTTATTTTTTAAACATAATTTCTTTACTTCTTATTTTTCTGCTGAATATTAATTACATAGATTGAACATTTTACAGTGAAAATTTCAGATCCAAATTCTGCTAAAATATGAGTCATGATGTAAGTCTGATGAGCCACCCTTATATATTATGATAATATATATGATATTATTATATTAAGATAATATATATTATAATATATATGATATTATACTAATAGGCGTATATATTTGCAGCAAGTTGTAAGATTTGACTTATAATACAGAATGTTTGATCTGATAAAATTGTGGTTAGATGAACAAAATTTGTCTTGTTCCTTAGTGACCAATGTTCTTTGCACAACTAAACCAAGTAACTAAAATGATCCAGGGCAGCACTATCTCCTCAAGGCACTTGATGTAGGCATCTGTGTTGAGTCTGAGGCCCTTACAAACAAATTTGGGAGTTCTTTTTTTATCAGAATGATCAGAGAGTTCTCTGAGCTGCTTTATCTTTGTAATCATCATTGGACTGATCCAACTCTTATCAAGCCACTCTCATATATTATCATAATAATCTTCTTTATGTGCAGTGTCCCCTCAGGACTTCAACAATCATGATTCTCCACAACTAAAATGACTCAAACACTTTGAAGTGTTTGTATTGGAGCTTCTGGTGCAAATCAAGGGGAGATATCATTTTAGTTGTGGAGAACCATGATCACCGAAGTCCTGAGGGGACACTGCACATAAAGAAGATTAATTAACCATCGTAAATCTTTTATGTTTTGCCTTTTTTAAATCATCAAAAATTGTAAAAGGAGGATGTTTGCTTTGCAACTTTTAATTTGAAATAAAGATGACTTGCCAAAATAGTAAATCCAATTTGATGTTACACATTCTTGTATGTCTACTGAAACCAAAATTTATTTTTATTTAATATTAATGTCTTCATTTTTTTCACATTTCTTATTGTTGGTATTCAATTCTTTTTTTTTTTTTTTTTTTTTTCAAATTTTCAAATTTTCTTTTTTAGTTTTTATATGGACTTTGGCCCCTTAAATCTTGGAATGCTGTACAGATACTGCTGCAAACTTAACAAAAAACTAAAGGTAAGTACCTGGTTTGAATTTCTATTTAGCTACTTTGATTAACTAAATATTGATTTTGGCAAATCTTTATAATCAGTATTATTGAAAACAAAATCAAATTGCCCCAAAGAAAAAATGATACTTGCTTAAAAATGATCATTGTAAATATTCTTTGGATGCAGCAAATAAAATAAAGACATGGCATATCTGATTTGATTATCAAATTATAATGTTATTAACTTGGCTACTCTGCTCAGGGACAATTTTGCCAGACTGATACTACCTGTAAGAAGGCAAAAGAAAATAGTAGGGATTTATTTTACTGAAAAGTTTTTAACCTGACCAACTTCCTGAAATCTGACTAAATTACCAAATATTAGAATCCTTTTTAATCACTTAGTTGTACTGAAATTTTTTCAGCACCCCCACCTTATCCTATATGCATAAAGAGTTTAAAATCTGGAGAAACAAGTAGGAAAATTTTTACAAACAGAACATGTTTTGTTATTTATTTAGTTTCATCAGAAATTTTAGAAGTGGAAAATGCAGAATTATGTTTCAACTTTTAAATCTGTGTTATTTTGTTACCATTGGTTGTGTATTTGTCAGGTGTATACTTTATGGTGCTGGTGTGTTTGTGTGTATGTATGTATTGATTTTTAAAAATTCTGTGTTTTTTCATTGGTTGTGTGGTTGTCACCTGAATGCCTCTTGGTGCCTGTGCATGTTTTTAATTTTTGAAATGCTAGTGTAATTTAAGTGTGTATTAAAAATTGGGGAAAATTAGTTTATTTTAATTATATGATAAATATAACAAATGTTGGAAGTTAATATATAATACTAGATGACATCATTTGCAAAAATTTGAATCTTATATTCTCAAAGTATAGGTTTTACAAATATCCACTTTGCAAATTTCTGATTTCTGATATTAAAATATGTTACATTTATAGAAATTTTCCTATTTCTTTCTTATTTAATCACATATATTTATATAGAGGTAGTGTGTGTGTGTGTGTGTATATATATATATATATATATATATATATTCAAAACTGTACGTTGCCTTGATGCTGCAATAGAGATGCCTTAACAAAAGTACTTAATCAAAAAAGAATTGACCATGAATGTACATGATGGATTATACAGATGATGATAATGTTACGCACACACACATAGTATAGGGTGCAAGGGATAAATTATCATCTAAATTACATAAAAATGAAAATAACACTGACATCTCATTTTAACAAATAAATTTTAACAAAGTTACACAAAAATATCTCAAAATGGTAAAGAGTAAATTTATTCAATAAAATCACCTTTGGCTTCAACCAGGGCCTCCAAACAACTTTGGAATCTCCTGCAACTCTTCTGGATGGTCTCCTTGTTTAAGTTGGTGAATGCTGCCATGATCTTTGCCTTTAGTTCATCTTTGGTGTTTCAAGGAGTTTTGTTGGTCTCTCACTCAACTGCAACCCACACATAATAATCAAGAGGGTTGCAGTCTGGGGAGTTAGGTGGCCAGATGTAAGGGGTGATGTGGTTGCAGAAATTGTTTGACAGCCATGACTAGGTTCTCCTGCTTGTCTGGCTTGGTGCAGAGTCCTGTTGCCAGACATAGGCTCTTCTAGCTGCCACCCTTCTTGATCCAGGGCAGCACTACCTCCTCAATGTAGGCATCTGTGTTGAGTCTGAGGCCCTTACCAATAAATTTGGGAGTTCTTTTCTTATCAGAATGATCACAGTGAGTTTTCTGAGCTGCCGTATCTTTGTAATCACCATTGGACTGATCCAACTCTTTCTGATTCCTCTGCATTGTCCTCAGATTGACACTCAAACACTTTGAAGTATTTGTATTGGAGCTTCTCATGCGAATGCCAAGCAGTGCAGCATGTCGTTTCCAAATTTCTGGCACAGTGAATTGTGTCATGATACTCTTTTTCTCACAGATGGTGCTGAGCTAACTCTACTATACTGTGCAGTTGACAAAATCAAAAATAAACAATGCACATGCACAAAATTAAAAATATAAAACGGGGAAAGTTTACTTATCTCACTCTGTGTGTGTGTGTGTGTGTATGTGTGTGTGAGAGAGAGAGAGAGGAAGATGACCTTTAATTTACTTATTTATTATTTGAATATTTGAGGCCATGACTACAAAAAGCCTAAAGCAGTAGCACTAAACAAAAAAACTGGGAAAAGCCAGTCTCCCTCCTTTTTTATTTCCTTAATGGCCTATATATAGAGTGTTTGAAAGGAAGTCACATTTGGCTTGATGATCACTTGATGTGTAAAACTGACAGTCACCATTCAGTGTTGATTCCTATGTCCACACTGTCTATATACTCTTTCTTAGATATTGAGCATACTTTACCTATAAATATAACCTATATAATTTCTACTTTGGTTATATGTGTCTTTCAAACGAGAACTAACACAAATGATTTACTTTGCTATTTATTTTAATATTATTCTGATGGTGATAGTAGTAGTAGTAGTAGTAGTAGTAGTAGTAGTAGTAGAAGCATTTATTACAAAATGTCCAACCAGTTTGATCTATTATGATTATTTGATATTTTGTCTTTGATTTCCAATGTCAACTTTTTTTTCTGCTTTACTTGTTGAGGTTATGTGAGTTAAATATGCTAGGAATTTTATTTTTTGTTTAGATATTTATTTCATAACATGACAACACAGGAAATTTACATGTTTGTCTTTCCCAGAGGGTATTTGGGAGGAAATGGCTATAATAATGGTAACCATGAACAAAGTCCATTAAGTTACTTTGCAATTACTACTTGTTCTCTTCATATACAAATGTTGTTGTTATTCAGTAGATATTTCCTATTTACTGTTATTGGCAGGTAACTTTAGATTATGTTTCAGTTCTAAGCATGATGTGTTCAGTACAAAAAATGATTCAGGAATGTGTTCACATGTCTATTCACATGTAAAACATGTTGCTTCTCTCACACACATGCAGAATGATACATAAAAGGTTTTGTATCTTTTCATTTTAATTTTTTTCCTTCATTTCACATGATGACTCTTTTTCCTATCCAGATCATTATCTGGTTGGGGATTTTATTAAACTTATTCCTCACCATTTTTTGTTTTAACTTGATGATTTAATCCAGCATTTTGGGAAAAAAAAGAAAAAAGACAAAGATATTTTCTTGTTAAAAATAGTCATTGTTTGTATAAATGCTATATATTAAATATTGGCTTCAAACAAAGTGGATTGGGAATTTTAAGCAATTTACATTAAAAATTAAAATAGATAGAAATGAAAAGAAATTTTTGTCATATGATGATCTTCTATTTCTGGAAAGGAAAACAAAAATAATGTACAAACAGCAGAAAAGATATGTGTCATTTATGGCGATCCCAATGGTATTGCAATATTATCAAGAAGTTGCATCCTTGATAAAAATACTTTGGTGAAATTCAGATCCAGGTCTCATGGTTGAAATACTAACATTCTAAATACTTGACTATGTTTGCACATACAAACACACACATACATGCACATACATTTTGTGTGTATGTGTGTGTATAGTTAATCTTTTCATCAAATATATAAATTCTTGTATCTCCATGGCTGGAGAATCAGTTATGAGTTTGCTGTTTTACTTCTGATTAATTTATTTGTTTATATAGTGGCTGATTGAAAAGTAACTTCCCATTTTAAAATACTTATAATTTATTTATTAACTATATATGGATATAAGAGGAAAGCATTTAGCATGAGGTTTTATTTAGAATTCAATATAGGCACCAGATTTTGCTACCAGCTTCTTGAGCTGCCCAGGAATTGCATCAGCTGATTTCACCAGGAACTCTTGTTGTATGGAAGACAACTTTTTGTATTTGTCTTTCAAATTCTTCTATAGTCTTGGTTTAGTATAATAGACTTGTTCCTTTAACCAACCCCAAAGAAAAAAGTCACAGTGTGTTAAGTCAGGACTCCTGGTTGGCTACTCGTACATAAAATCACCCTGTATATTTTGATGTAGGATACTTTGTGGAATAATTACATTCGGGTATTTATTCAGTCAAAATATTTGAAAAAAAAAAGCACAAGCAGAAATGCCATGACTATTGATTCTACTTTGATAACACATGAATGCTCCCTGAATCAGCATTAATTATTTTTATTTAATCTAGTCTTGTTCTATAGTACAGTAGGCATATAAAGAAAGAATAATATTTATTATATATATATAAATTATTCCCTGCAATCCACTTAACCTGTAAGGATCAATTCTGAAAGTGGTTTCCTTGGAAATACATGAAAAGAAATAAAACTTTTGGCTTCTTAAAAAAAGTAATTTTCTTCACAGTTAAGTTAATATTTGCAATACTGAAGTTGCATTCATTTATTGATATTGGTACTAATTAAGAATCAGACATTTGTGAATGGATTTGTGTTGTAGACTGAGTAGTTCTTGGTTTTTGGTTGTGTTTCCAGCACTGGTCTTGTATTTTAATGATTAGTATGACATAAGGCCAAATGAAGGAAACAGAAGGAGGAAGAGAGTGTTGCATTAATCTTTGAATTGAGGAGAGCTTGTGTGGTGAACAGCCCCGTAGAAGCAAGCGAGCCAGAGTGGCTTGCATCTGGTGCATAGGAAAATAAGTGTCTTACTTTAATAGGCGGCAAGTGACATTGGCAAGTTTGCCCCATGAAAATGACATTACTCTCCCGACTAGCAGTATGTGCAGTAATGAGGGTTTTTGTACAGTTTGGCTTGCTTCCACCAATAGCAAATTGTGTGCTGATTGGTCGAACTGGAGGAGGCTATTTGCCTGGGTAACTGAGAATAAAAGCGAAGAACGCTGATTGGTTGGGCGACTGCAGTGTTGGCCTGATAAAAGAGGGCTGGAGCAGTGAAAATGGCAGAAGAAAAGACAGATATACATTATGACGGGTTCACAAAGCAAGAATGGTGAATTGAACCAACGGTATCTTGATTTGTACAAGTGATGTCGTAGCAATACAGACTTATTTAAACTAC